AGTTCTTCCAGGTAACTTCAAAAAATTCATTTCAAATTATGATAAAATAACACACTTGCAGAATAAATGAAATATAATATTGTTGATGATAAAAAAGAAGCTATGTACCTGCAATAGATAAAATGCAGAATTGATGCAGTGTCTCATAATGACCAGCAGAGAGTGACAGATGGTTGATTTTAAATGACACTTACTGTTCCTACCACTGAGGAGCTGCTACATCATCCTGCCAACATGAGGAGGTTTCACTGTTTCTGTACCAAGTTCAATCAGTTTTTATTTCTGCCACGTTTCTTCCCTGCCGTGATCATCACTCTCTCAAAGCTCATTACTGTAAATTGCTCAATCACCTCGACTGATCCTTTATCTCTTAATCTGACAGGAGACATTTGATCAGAGGACACTTCCAGGCCTCAGCCCATCATTATTCAGTCCCAACACCAGATGACAAGACAAGGCCTCTTTGATGGGCCTCACCTCCTTGTGCCTGTTTTGTTTCAACTGAAAAGCTGCTAAAGCGAATAATGAAAACCCAATCAGAGCTTCTATCTGTCTTTCTACCTCTTTGTGTTTAGTTCCAGTTCGCAGGGAAGCAGCAGGCCAGAATGGCACCTTCGCTGAGTGCCAGCAGAGCGGCTACACGGCTTACACACACATGCAGGAACACACGTGAACAAACACTGGGAACACACACACACACACACACACACACATGCAGGGCAGGAGAGAGGCAGGGCGAGAGAGGAGAGTGGACTGGTGGGTGTCAATTTGCATGTAAATGAAATGGCTCTCAGAGCTTGTTTCCAACAGTAAAAGTATCAAGGCTAAAGATGCTATATTTGGTGTATGCGTGTGTGTATGGTTCATGTTGTCTTGTGTGCACTCTACAGGACAATGTACTCTGTGCATGCGTGCTGAATAAATGGTGTGCATGTGGGTGTGCAACACTGGGAAACCCATCTGAAGTCACTTCTTACTATTCGTTTTATTTTATTAACCAGTACCACATAAGTACGGAGCCCCTGAAGTCCTGAAAGATGATATTTTTTTCTTGTTCCCAAAAGATAATAACTTGTGTGCGCCAAGATAAAAAATAATGATCGTCTTCTGAGACATCAGTGGCTCCGTATCAAACACAATACTTGAGAAATTAACAATTTCTTAAAAGCTACTAACGCTACTTACCATTGTCTTCAAAGCATCGGCCAGTCATACCTTTACTACGCAGATATTAACTCTGTGTGCACGACTTCTTTATCTTCTTCTCACTAGATAATTTCTTTTTATCTTGTGGGAACAAGTGTACACACAAGATAGTGACAGTGTGGCATTGTGGGCCAAATCTGGGCCTAAACAACTGAGCTCTGTGTGTTTTTGACTCTTGTCTGAGAAAAGTGCTTGACAAATAAACTGTATTTACTTGCTTACCTGTTTCCTTTGTAGATTTCACTCTGTGAATGGGAATTATCTCATGTTATCAGATGTTTGGTGACAAATACCAGTGTTTGGCCATCACCTGGTGCTATTTTACAGTTCAGCCAGAGGGAGGCAGAGTGGATTGTTGCTGCACAGTTTGTTTGATCATTAATGTTCATGTAGTTTCTGTCAAGATGACATGTTTCCAATACTGATCCCTATTGATCCTCTGTAGTCTTCAACTATAAGAAAAGCCTAGAGTTGTATATTTCAATGTATTTATTTTACATCATTTTTTCAAAAACAACTCCCACAGTCAGACATTCTGATTGGTTAGGTTTCACTGGACAGTCTAGATTGTCCACATAGGTGTGAGTGTGGGTGTTTCTTTTCTCTATATGTTAAATGAGTGGTATGGATGATGGATGGATGGATAACTTCTAGAATATTGATGTTGTGAGGAATCCCTCTGGCTGGTGCACCAGCTTTACAAGTGGCCAGGGTATTATCTGTTATAGGAAATCCTTAACCCTGATATCTGCTTACATTATTCAAGAGTGACTCCAGAGCCTCACATCACTAACAAATGCACACGTAATGAGCTAATTTTGATTCAAAAGAATAATGAACCCACCACAGATCAGATTGAACTCAGTCCTGAAGCTGAATTTCCGCTGCTGCCTGTTCCTTATCCATGTCTAATATCTGTCTCTTAATATATATTGTTGCATCTTTCCATCTGCACCATCTTCCACTGTGACGTGACGGCTCTGTCTTTGGCTGTGCTTCACAACATTCGGATGTTCTGACCAGCAGTGACAGCTTCAGGAGCATTGTGTGCTCAGACGCTGCTCCCAGGGGAAGAGGAAGAGGAGGACAGAAGTTCCAAAGGAGCTCTCTCTGTCTTGTCGTCTCTTCATGTGCTCTGATCTCTCATCTTCGAAGCTGCATGGCTGGAATTAGCGTCTGACTATCTTTAGCACCATGACTATTTGATTCTAAAATATCATCGACAACATATTTAATCCTATTTGTGCAGATGTCTGTATTCCAGCCATGCTGTGACTGAAAACACTTTCTAAGACAGTCATTATTGTAAAAGCATAGTATATTATCTAATAGATTAGCGGCTGCCAGGAGAAACCACAATTTATGAAGACTCTTAAAATATATTATTAGAATAAATCTCTATTATAGCCATATATAAAAGCTCTGTACTGTGTGTTTTGTGCTTAATAAAAAGGATTTGTTTGGCTACTGTGGCTCAGAGGACACAGAGATCATCACTGGACAGTATCGGACGACTTTTTACTTCATCCCTTTTCTCATCAGTGATCGTCACATTTGTTTAATTATTCGGCCATTTTACAGTTGTTTTTGTCATCATTCTGCTGCTTGTTTTGGACCTTTGGAAAGACTCACCTCTTGTTGGGGAGCTCGGGCCTGGGCCCCTTTGCTGGTCGGTTTTTTTCAGGTCTCTCTTCAGTTGCTTATGGTGCAAATCGTGATGGTGAGGTGATGTTTCCTTTATTTGTCTTTGGACTTTTAATGTATTTTTGTGAACCCTTGTGCTGGAATAATGTTGAATTAGTGGCATTTGGAATATAATCTCCTTGTGTTTTGACTTTGATTTTGTATATTCGGATTTATATCTTTGTGTGCAATTTGAGTTCATTATTTCACATTTTACTTTGAAGCTTCTTTCCTTCTGTGTCTCTCTAACTTTACTTCCTGTGCATGTCTGGTTTCCTTACCTGTGATTGTCCTCAGCTGCCTTCATGTGTCTCACCTGAGCTGAGTAACTCCTGCTTTCTTTCAGTCTCTGTGCTTTCCACTCTCCTCTGTCAGTTTGTGTATTAACTTCCCTGGATTTCCACATGCTTCAGGTTTGCTGCTTGGTTTTTGTGTGTTTCAGTTTTTTCTCTCTGAATTGCTGGTTTGTTGCTGCCTGTAGTTTCTCCACCAAGCAGTTTATGTTTGTGTCTGTGTGTCTTAGTTTGCAGGTTTATTTAACTACTTCAACAATTTCCACGAAGTTTTGTGCAGGAGTGAGACATGACCCAAGGACAATTAATAAAAATTGTTGTGCGGATCAGGATCTGGTTCAGTAAAACAGGAACAGTTCTGAGTTCACAGAGAATAATTCATTAAAAAAATCCCACATGGGGACTGACATCTATGAGTAGAGGCTATTTGGTCTAGATCCAATTAAAATCTGGAACCAGTGAATTTATTGGGGGACTGTTGGACCTTGGCCAAGGTATGTGCTCTGCTGAGTACCATTCTGCTTTAGTCTGGGACTTTTAGTTTGTCTGTTTGCATTTATTTCCACACCTATGTAATGGAAAACTTGCATATAAACTTTGCTTGAACTGTCTGGCATACGTGCAGAAGGACCTTTTACTGTTTTACCCTTAACTATCCAATGCCATGACTGTTGCTATGCACTTGGCAGATGTAACTTCAGAGTTCATGTCCTTTCTCGATGAGGATCCTCTTGTTGACTCTGATCTTTGCAGTAGCAAACTTCTTCTTTCTTGCAGAAGCAAGAACAGACAGCTTCCAGTGTTAACCAGACTACAGGTGGCTTCGGTTTTTCATGCCATTACTCAGAAACAGTTGTCTCTTATGTTTCCTGTTTACCTGACTGTATACAACCTTCTTCTTTCCATATTCGGGGTTGTTCCACTGTGTGAAACCCTCTGCAGAGCTTTATTAAAGACCCGAAGATAATTCTGGTCTGAGAAACTCTTTATTTCACATCTCGAGATAAATTTCTGCCACACCTACCTGCTGTTTTTTCTTGCCGGAAACACAAAACATTTAATAACTTTGTATATTACATTTGTGGCATTCATAGTTTATTTTGTATTCATAGTTTCATTTTTCCTTAGGTGCAGACTGAACATAGCTGTTTTTTTTCTTAGTTACCTTCCAGCCCCATACAGTCCATCATGTGTGTCTTTATGCTTCTCTGTCCAGGGACAGAATAAAAGCACATGCATGCAAACACCACACACACACATTAACTACCACCACAACCTTGGGGCCACTGGGCTGTGGTGGAGCTGAACTAATAGAGCTGAGCTGGTAGAGGGCAGTGTGGCAGCAGCAGCTAAACCCACTGCAGGAGGGTTTTCTGCAGCCGCAGAGCTCGGAGCCTCAGAGTAGCGCAGGTAATGTGACGCTCTGTTCTGCTGCTAGCGGCCAAATCTGATGATGGCTGTGTTAAATAATCTATAGTTTGGTGCATTTATGAGACTGTTTTGTCAGATTTTCTGGATGGTTATATTAAAATGAAATATATTCTGAAAATGTTTTAATTGCACTTAACTTATACCTATATACATGTGTTCTCCTCAGCTTTTAACTTGTGTGTGTTTGAATCCAGTTATTAAACTCTATTTTGCTCCAATGAAACTTTTGATTCACTCTTTTCAAAAAGCCAAAAAAATCTAATTTAAATCAGGGCAGAGTAACCGCATTTAGTCCAAGGAGTATTTTACTTGAATTTGATAACCTACAATGAACTGGCACATCCCATAATTTGTGTTCAAGGATTTGCCCTTAATCATCAGGAACAATTTAATTATTTTTATATTGGTTATTTTCAAACTTTATGTTGATTCTTTTAATGATGGCTTTTTACCATTTTGTCTTCTTTAGCACCGTAACTTTGTTTTGAAAAGTGCAATATAAATCGTGTTTATTATTGAGATGAGGCAAGAAGTCACCTTGACACACCAGTTGTGAGTTTGTACCTTTAGCTTGCTCAAAGATCATGTCAATATAATATATACAACACATATTATTCTGCTCCTGCTGTTTTATATCTTCCCAATGATATAGATTCAAATCCAGATTACTTAAACTTTTGCATTTGGATTTTGATTACAGGTAAAATAGGATTTTTGCACCTTTTCTTTCTTGACCTTCTGTCAACCTGCCGTGAGTGACTCTGGAGCTCTTTTTTTTTTTAATATGTCGATTCCACTTTGACAAATCTTTTTCACTGTGTTTTTGCCAGAGGGTGAAAAGTTACATGACATTTCTTTCTTTTCTGATGGTTTCATTTCTCCAGCACCTCTTGCAGAGCCCCTTATGTGTGACGTCATATCTGGGATGTGATGACACTTCCCCTCTGATGTTGGCGTCCCGACTCAGCAGTTACTCATTAGAAGATTGGTTGAAAAAAATATTGTCCAGACCAAGAATGATTAATTTAATCAACCGTCAGGATATTCCTTTCAAATTAAATCATACCTTCATTCAACTGATTTTACATAGAAAAAAAAAGAAAATGACAGGTTGCATGATTAAGGATGCAACTTTGAAGAGAGGGAGTCTGCAGGAGATGTTTCAATATGACTTCAGAAAACCCTCTGATGCTGCTCAAAATGCTACATCTGCGAGTTTGCTAATCTGTCGCTTTTCTTTCATTTTTACATTCATGCATTTTATTCATCTTTTTCATCTACAATTTAAATATTTGCTCACAGTCGTGGTTCTGTCTCTTTTTGTTGACAACCTGACTATTACACACATGAAACCGAAAGCTAGTCACTATTGTATTAGAAAACAAGAGTGAATTAATAAAGGTTGTTTGTGTGTGAATGAAAAAGTGTTGAGGAGAAAAACGAGACGGGGCAGAGACAGCAGTGGGCAGGCCCAGAAAAAACGATTACTCCAGCTGCTCTTTCACAGCTGCTCCCAATTGCGCCGTTGCTCCTCTTTCTCTCCCTCCATCACTCCCTCCATCCTCCATCACTCCCTCCATCTCCTCCCTCCATATACTCGTGTGACTGGGCTGTTTGTAGCTGGCACTTTGGAGACGCTGCTGTGAAGATGTAGGAGAGGATTCTATTTGATGTGACGGCAAAACATTGTTAGTTAAATGATGTAGTGGAGGAATCACTGCTTTTATTGATACACCCATCACTTTCTGTTACGTGTATTACAATTTCAAAACATTGGTTTCGTATATTCAGTTTGACACTCACAATAAATATTGTAAAGTGAAATCAAACGTATTCATGGCTCATGCAAGTGTGGATGAAAATACACATGTTTGTGTAGCTATTCTTGTTAGGACACTGCACTGGCTTTCATCCAAAGTCTCATTCTTAACTTTAACCATCATCAATTCATACATTTCAACCCAACCACTATTCACATATTACCATCTCAACCATTTATGTTTTGTCTCATTAGGTTTCCATGGCTTCAGAGGACATCGCATTGTCTTGCATCATCTCTGGTTCAAAGTAAGTCAGTACATTTGCTTATCTTACCTTACCTAAACCTCTAACCCTAACATCACTATCCTCTTAAAATATAACTACACCTTAAAGTTTACAGATCTTTATGGGGACTTGAAACAAAGTTTGTTTAGAGAAATGTCCAGTCCCCAGAAAATGGGAAAATCCTCTTCCAGTCCCCCAACACACACACACACATGCATACTTACATGCAGACACACACTTGCTGCCTCCTTCAATATTCCTGTCACTGTTATCAGCCGGGTCCATCTCAGGGGGAGGCTGCTGTTAAAACATGAGCAGTCCATTCAATACACTTCACCTAATCAGGGCTAAGCTGCTTGTGTATCTTCCCGCTCTCCACCCCATCAGTGTGTGATGGAGACAGAATGAGGGTGCATGGGTTTCCTGGCAAGCTGAGGTGCATGTGTGTGTGGTCGAGAATGTCCGAGCACTTGTGTTGTTGTGCAGAACACTCTGGGCTTTGTTTGCCTCTCTCTCTCCCATTGTATGTGTGACTCAGTGGGACACCTAAGCCCAGAGGAGCAGGACAACAGCAGGAACAGTATCTTGGTACAGCGAGGCAGCTTTTTAAGAAATTGAAAAGCTGCTCCGTCACTTCCAGTAAGTGGAACCGTTAATGAATACAAGGACTTCATAGTTCAGGGTTTGGCCTCTTCTGTGGCAAATGTACCTGAACTCAAAGAAGAGGATGGTGTAAACACACTAAATGTCTGCTCCACCGAAATCAGTTAAATCAGTCTTAAGTCTCCTATTTAACATTAAAGTTGAATCCCAAAAACAGTTAAATCAGTTAACTTAACTTAAACTTAAACTTCCTTTATTGATCACACAAGGGGGAATTCTTTTTACACTTATTTTTCATTTTATACGTGCAGTTTAACCCACAATCCCACACACACACACAGAGGGCTCAAAGATATGCAATTTTTGGAGAGAGATGGTAGAGTGACGGGCAGCCTGTGAAAATGTACACACTGTGAAAATATGTGGCACTAGAGGCCTGGTACAGTTGGAGCAGTGGCTCCTGTTGTTACTGGTTTGTTTTGTGGTTAATGGATATGAGGAGGAGAGCACCATAGAGCAAAGTTATGCAAAACTGAATCATGCAGTGAAACTTATATGCATCCTCCATGTTGGACTCTCTATTCCCTGAAAGGTCAACACTGTGAAGACGATTTGCAACTGTCAGAGGTCAATACATTCAAACTATGCAAAAGATCAACAAAATTAATTCTATGTCATGAGCGTTACAGAAGATTTCTGCTCTGGTACAAATAATAAATAATATGCATATTTGTCCATGTTTTCTAAAAGTTTACAGATATGGACGATACAGACAAAAACAAAGCAGTACCACAGGAAATCGTGGGGGGGCAGTGTAGCCCATAGCGCACTTTAATGGATATATGCTGAACAACCATGCCAATGTAAAAAGTATGTGTACATAGAGGCAGTGTACATTAGCCTTTATATTTAAAACCATAGACTGTATATACTGTAAATGTATAAACATATCTTCACTTTCTCCCACTATCCAGAAAGTAGTGATGTTATGTTTTGCAGACTCTGTTTCCACATGTCACGATACAAAGTACTTTAATAAAGTCAAGATGTCTGACAACAACATTGCAGACACTGGATAGTGATCCAGTATCACAATATGTACTCGTTCTGTTTTCTGACCAGATAATCGGTTACTGCAGAGCCACCTGCAGCTCCCTCCACGAAAAAGGACGACTCTTGTTTATTTGCAACTTCCACCGCCTACATCCACCCTCAAGCATGACAGAAATACACCCCCCCCCCCTTTTCCCAACCACCACCACCACCACCTCTGGCTCATTTTTATCTCCTTTGCCCTCCCTACTCCCCCTCTTCTCCACCTGCCGCCACATTCCTCTGTGTAGGTGGACACTCTCCTCTTTCCCACTCCATCCATCTCTCTTCCACTCTTTTTTTTTTTGCTCCAGCTACCCTGCCATGCATAATTAAGTTTGGAGTAGAAGAATATCCCCCCGCCCACCTTCCATATTTCTCGGATTTCTCTTCCTCCGTTTTTTCTCCACATCATCCTGTCCTTCAGTCTTGCTCCTCTGAGAATAACAAAGGTATAAGCTGGCCTGGGAGCGCTGGACTTTTTCCTTTTCTCTTACTTCCCTCCCTCTTTCCTTCCTTCCTCTACCTGTTACTCTCCTCAGGCCTCCGCTGGGGCTTAGTGCCAGGCCTGTCTTGTTAAGTGATAATGTTAAAATGCTAAATCACACCACCACAGCCGCCACTGTCACCGCCTCCCTCTCTGCCTCCTTCTGCGAAGGGTCTCTGGTTTCACTTTGCGCTGTCATCCTATCCAGTCGTGCTCATCAATACACAATGCAGGAGCTCCGTCAGCCAGCGTATTTCTCTCTTAGCGTTAGACGAGGTGATGTTTGGGGCCTGACCAACGCCATGTTAATGAGTCTGAAGTATCAGACTTCCTTCTTTCCTTCAGTTTCATGTCTTTTTCATTTATTCAGCAAGTAAAAACACGGGGTCAAATTCTGATGGTCTGATCAGTTTCACTCCCACATTCTGGCTCCTCAGTGAAGCGTATTACAGGAGCAGTAAATTTGAGACGCTCTCAGAAGATCTATTCATGTGGTTTATCGCTCTTTATCACTGTGAATGTTTGTAACTCAAAGGAAAATTCTTACTGACTTAAGACACGCTGCAAATATTTTAATCACTTTTAAAATCTTGAGCTGCTGACGCACTTCTTGGATCGCTGCCACCTGCTAATGTTTTAAAGCAAATACCCTGCACTTTAATTCACTCTGTTCATTTAAAACCAGTTATATTGAAAGTATAGCTTTTGCGTTTTGTCAGTCATAATAATAAAATATAATAGGATGGACAGTGTTGGGCAGTATCCCATTACAGTAATGTAATTACTGTTTTCAGTTGCATGTGTAGTGTAAGGGATTAAGAAAATTCAGTATTTATATCACAGGTACTAATCCAGCGACGCTCCATTACTGCAACATTGTCAGGGGTCGGCTTGTTTGGTTCATTACCAGGAGATTGACATTTAAAGGTACAATATGTAACTTCTGCCACTAGGGGTCTCACAATAAAAACAATAACAAAAGACCTTGTTTGATGACATCGGTAAGCAGCATGGGATCATGGGAGTTGTTGTTTTCCTCCTTTGCAGATAAAAATCTACCTGAATGGGGCAAATTATGTTCTCGTATGAGCTAATGCATCAAAGTTGTATTCACTCTACGAAGCATATGGTAATGAATAACGAGATCCACTGTGAGGCACTAATGGAAACAGTAGAAGGAAAAAAAAACTGCAGACCCACATACTAGCTAGCGCTGTGTTTTTCTTTCTTTGTATGTTGTTCAGAGATGTATTGAAATGAAACGTCCTGTTACCTTGAATAAAATGTGGTATTTCTCTGGATTTTACAGTTTTTGGAAACATCCTAGATATTGTAAGTACACAACAAAGTAGTCGACAAAACATATTACATAGGTCTAGTTGTTTTTAGACATTTTAATGAAGTTTCAGTTTCAGCCCTGTCTGTAGGGATTTGTGTTAACTTGTCAAAATCTACTTGACTTTATCTTGTTTGATCGCAGGTTCAGTCTTCAGCCCCTAGAAACTAAGGGTGACTAGATTGCTAGCCTCTGCTGTTATATTACTTTTACACACGGTTGTCCATCTTATTAGCTAATGTATTTTCCAGCAGCTACTGTACCACTGACCCACTGGTGGCCCCATCACCAGCTTTAAGACTTTATAGGATTTAGACTGGTAATGTACCCGGCTGCTCAGGCATAGCCGGCATTAGGGTTGGATATCAGTGATTCATTACATAGGCGTGATAAAGTTGTTCCGCATGTCTGGACTGTATTAAAGTATATAACATTTTTAGCAAAGACACAGTCATAATCCTGTTCTGAGGCATACAGCAAAATACGACATAATGTTATGCAAATGCAGTAAAATGTGACCATTAACTCTCCTCTACTGGAGTCTGTCCAAAGAAAACCTTAACCGGAGATCAGATAAGTGTTTATTCATGATTATGACATGTATCTAGTAGCCATTAGCACACAGAGAGGCGGTTCCTGTGTCAGACATTTCCATTGCACTAATTTGAGCCAAGCCTTGAATATAATCCAAGACCATCTGTTGGGTAGGTCCAACAATATGCTAATTGGGATGTGGCAATCATTTCTATTTACAATAGGGGGGTCTACTATGTCACAGATCGATTTACAGATGACTTGAGTCAATATAAAAAGTAGCCTGTGGTGAGCACCTACAGTACTTCTTGGTGAGGACAGTCTGTTGTCTTTAATAAGCACAAACATGTCATGCCACTGTGCTGTTTCCTGTGAGAACACAAGTTTTTAGATGCTTAGTGTTTATGTGAGCCTTAAATTCATGTTGCTGTCATTTAGAAAATGTGCTCTATATTACTGGAGACTACCTGTAAACTAAAAACATTCCCCCCTGATTTTAAAAGGAAATTAAAAGTTGAGAACAAACAATGGACCATTCAATAACAAAAGAGGAATGTCCTTGAATCTGATGCAAGGATGTTTTAATCTGAAGATAAGAACAAGCTGATGTGCTACAGCTCCCAATAGACCAAAAACTAAGCAAGAGACAGATCAAATACATAATGTAATCACAAGGGTCTTTCTGTTAGCTTAGCTTAGCAAAAATACTTGCAGCAATTTGCTTATAATAGTTATGGTGTTGCAAAGAAGAACCCAGTAAAACTACCTGTCATTTTTGCACTAATTGAAACAAAGATAATATTAATTATTGAGGCTGAAAAGTGCTGATTTTCTTCCTTTTCTGCCTTTATTGAAAGCTGGAGGTGGTTTCCTATATATAATACAGATACTAAAGTAATAATGGAGTAGTGATCAGTCCACCCTCTTCTTTCTGTGGAGGGGGAAACTGGTTAAAGTTTTCCGCCTCATGCGGGTGAATAACATGGGGCTTGCTTCATACGTTGCTGAACATGTCAGTCATATACAGTGAAACACTCTTGCAGCACGCCAGCATCAGTTACTCGCGTCCAAACCTTCCTGATCTTGATGCAAATTAAAGCAATGATGTCAACAAATCAAACTTTAACAACACTCTTAAATAAATTACACTGAGTGTGTGGATTCTGTTTCAATCCATGTTTTCCGACAGTTTTGCCACTGCGCGTTACATCTCCAGCAAGAGCTTAAGTCAGTTTCTAAAAAAAGGGCCGACTTGACGGAATGGGAACGTTGTCAAAATGACCTCAATCTTTAACTCTTCTCTTAAAGTCCCAATCAGTCGTTCTTCTGGACGATATACACTGAGCAATTTCCATATGCATCACTGAGTTCCAGAGGAAAACTAATGTACACTTTTTGTATTTCACTGGTGATCATGAAATCACATCTTTTATAGCACCTGAAAACTTTAACAAGTTTACTTTTTGAATCATTTTATATATCTGACTTCCCTTTTTTGCCTTTGGGTCACCTATTTGTTTCAGTTGTATCACATAGTAGGCCTGTAAGAAATGAGCAAACCTGAGAAAGATGCCCACTGACAAATATATGCTGAGCAATTCCATATGGAATTATTCATTCCCCTGCACACAGTTGCATATGTGACGTAGAGACAGCCCAACATAAGCATGGATTCTATTTCGTAACCATGCATAAATATGTATGTACAAAATCGGACACATAGCTTTCCACCCTTCCTTGACATTCTCAAACATAACTAAAAAAAACCCTAAGCCCTGAAATCCTCCTCTTACTGCCGCAGCTTTGGAATACAATCCATCGCAGCTCATGATGAAGAACCAACAGCTGTAAAATCCAATTGGAGGTTTATGAAGATAGATGGAGAAGAACGCCTCTCTCCGCCACCCCTCTCTCTTTCTTTCTGTTATACGAACACACAAATACAGACTTGCACATGGACACATTTTCCTCTCGCTGTTACATGAAATCCAGAATTACACAGGATGCTGCTCACAACTGCGAGGGAATCTTTCGGCAGCCTCGGTTTGGTCTCAGTGGGCAGCGCTTCACTGCTGAGTGTGCAGCCTCGCTCTCCTTGGCTGGGGGAGGCCTCCTCTGTCGAGGCATTATCTGCTCCCATCTAATATTCATCAACTACTGGGAGATTGGTGACGACAAGTCGATTTGATAGGCTAACAATGCACTGAGGTCGTCTGTGTTGTTGTGTGTGCATGCATGGATGTGAGTCTACATTAACGAGGTATAAGCAGTGCACACATGGCAGGGCATGTGCTTGATGGCACCATGAATTTAATTAATCACTACAACACTAAACAAATGTATGAATAAGATAAATTATGTATAATGTATAAATGACAGCTTGCAATCATTATTTAGCAAATTAAAATAAAATTGCCTTTTAAATATAAATGTTAATTTCTTGAAGCAAATTAATTTGCTAATAATTTACCACAATTTAAAAAACATTTTTTTTAATTCGTGAAGGCAAACTCAAGGGCATGTGTGTGTGTTCTATTCTACTCAAAATTTCCAAACCGACAGAATATCAGGTATAGTGCTTACAAATGAAACTACGCTGCCCTTGTTATGGGTGTGTTAACTTTACTTCTCCCGTCAGGGAGCACATGAACCCAATCAAAGTTACCAGGAGTCTCAAAGAAGTAAAGTTAACTGACCCACAACAAGCCCTTCTCTCAGGCTGAAAGAACACGCTCTTGAATAAAGATAGTGAAGCCAACAACATAGTAATGGCGACATGTAAAGGATCAGGACATGAACTGAAACTGAAACACTGTGGGGACCTAAACTGTCTGGTGAGCCCTTACAAATATGCAAATACATGCAAACACCATGTGGTGGGTATTATAAGGTTGATACTACTCTCTGCGACAATGCTTTTATATCACTCTTAATGACCAGTAAATGTTTTTAGAGAAGTTATATTGAAACATTAAAAAGATCGTTGCACTCTGGCACTGCTTAAAACTATTGTTTTCTTATAGGCTTTGTAGGAATGAGTGACAAACACAAAAAGTATATCATTCAACAGCAGACTTTCTCACCGCTTCCAAATATACACACACACTGCCTTCCCTATCTCGCGCCCCCTCCCTCTCTCTCTTTTTGGCATCCATCACTGTCCGCGGCAATGGACTGCGAAACAAATTTCTATCACTATACATTACAGGTTAAGAAAGGGAGCTGGGAATGTGTTATATATGCCGGGTTCGATTTTTATGTAGTGTCTGCGGGCTCGTCCATCATTGCTCAGCTAGGCACCCTCGTCCACCGGGCCCCTGACGAGATGTTGTCTTGGCACCGCTATCAATCACCCTGCACTTGCCCGAGCCCCGTGCCTGATGTGCAGGAGGGGGCATGTGTTGTAGCTGCAGGACTCCATCCCTCCTCCCAACCACGCACTCCCCTCCGCCTCCCCGCGCCTCCATGACGGCGTTGCCAACACTCACAGTCATTTGTCATCTGAGTGGTGGTGTTTAGAGCATGTGTTTTGAATCTGGGACCTTCCTCCCTGCATGACCACTATAGTACTCTGTGCTTTTAATGACAAGAGGTGATTGGGTAATTACTGTGCAGGCCACTGGGGAAACCAGGTTTAGATCCACCTGGCCCCCCCTCACCCATGCACTGATACTGAAAACATGAGGTGTTTGACTTCATATGGAATGCGTGTAAACCCCAAGTGCCTAGCATCATAAAAACCAACAGCAGATCACATTATATGGCACTATAGGTGAAAGTGGTTAAATGACGCTTTGATTTGTGGTTTCCTCGCCTGACATCATTTCAACCCACAGAGACCATGAAGCTATAACCTTTACGGCTCCACTGCCATAACCTGCGTGTTTACTCTCTCTCTCTCTACGTCTTTACTATATGATGACATACAGGGTTAAAAAGACACAGGATGCGGAGGCATGTGGCTTCGCATGGCTGATCTGGCGACTGCTGGACTAATCCTTTCTCCCTCAAAGTCAGGCGGATTATGATTTGAGGAATACTCCTTCGCCCTTCACACTGTACGGTGAAAGTCACCAACCTATCAGAGAGCTCTGGAGGTAGGGGTTGTTCAGGGGGGGCGTTGGGTGGAGGGAGGACTTAATTAGGCCAGATCATTGCCGCTCTTCCCCAGCGCCACAGCCGCCCCCATCCCCAGTCCCCTCCAATGCCCCCTTTAAATCCCCTCCATTTAATGTTCTGTGAAATCATGTCCCACTCTCCCAGAGAAGTGGAAGAAATTGGAACAGTAATATTTCGTGTTTTAAAGAGAGGCAGCACTATGGGGAAATTGACTGTTACATGTCACCAACACGTGACATGTCCAGGTTACATCCTGTTTCTCACACTATCAGCTGGGAGTGGCTCCAGCAACCAACGACTTTGTGTTTTAACAATGAAACACCTGGAAAAAGCAGATGCTGCACTTAGCAATAGAGATTATTTCTGTCCTCAGATTATATTTTCCCTCTACTGTTACAATTTTACACTGAGGTGGATATAATAAGTTACCTTAAAATTATTTCATTTACATGCATGGCCTTATATTTGAGAAATGGAAATAAAAGGAAACGACACTGACAGTGACTCTCCAGGGCAGCTGCTAAAAATACTCTGTAGCCATAAGGGCTTGGTGAAAAAATACCACAGAGCAAAATTTAAAATGTCACTATGTCCCTGGAAGGTTAAAACAGAGCTGCCGATAGCTGAGAGTTGTTCCACTGAAGATTGTGAACGTGATGTCAGGTTTGAACATATACAGTCTTTGGATTTGAAATAACGCTGCCTCTGTATATCAGCCAATTCAAGGTGGGTTGATTCTCTGACTAATGCATCTTGTTATAAATTAAATCAAAGCTGCTCTAATTCCTAAACTATAAATGCATAATATTTGTTTGTTTCCCTCGTCTCCAATTCAAACTTTAAACATAAATGCATTGTGAATAACAAAGAGTTGTTTCTTCTGTTTTCTTTTGCCTGGCAGAGGCAAAGAGACAGCGAGGACGTCCAGCAAAATGGAGGTGGTCGCACAGAGAGCCAACTTGAAGACAGATGGATGTCAGAGAGAAACGCTGTGCACACATCCTGGACAAACATCTGGCCAGTTGAAGACAGACAGGTAAGCTGACAGACAGACAGACAGGCAGGAGGAGATCCACAGAATCCATGCAGAGGAGATGGAGGGTTGACAGACAGACTGACGGGCAGCAGGGACAGACCTGCTGCCTCTCAATGCCTCGAGGACACTTTGGCCATAAGAAGAAGCTAAAGCTAATCCCCCACTGTGTTTGGCGAGTTAGGGCCCTTCAAGAGCAGAGAGAGGGGCTGTGTGTGTGAGAGAGAGAGAGAAGAGGAAAGAGAGAGAAGTACAGCATTTTCCAGCAGCATAGATAGCATCTGTTTTTTTCATTAGGACAGCATTATCATCCAGAACATCTGAATCTACCCCAGTCCACTACACTCACGTTCCTCTCCAATCATTTCTAATACACCCTGTCTCCCTCCGTCCCCTCTTCCTCTCCTCCCAACGTCTCTCTCTCAATCACAAGCTTTTTTTTTTGCTCTTTTTTCTCTTCACTCTCCTAAACCATTAAGTCGATTTTCAATATCGTTTCAGCCATGTTTTTCTAGCATGCGTTGGCCTAAATTATCTTATCGGCGAGAACTTGATGAATCCTGGTTGAAGCGAGGGCTAAATAAAACAAGAGAGGTTGCCACTTCCCTGTGTATTAAGAGATCAGTTACCGGTAGATGAACCTACTTATAAAGCAAAGCAAGGAACTGGAAGTTGGATGTGTAAATGATGCAACGATGATGAAACAGCAGATTGTTTGTTGGCCTGGTTCTAAGGTTTAATAGCACATGCACACAAAAGACAACAACATGAATTTATACTTCAGACAACAAGCAGGGAGAAGAAAACCTGCCTGCAGATGCTGAAGATTTTTAAATTAGTGGTAACCATATAAATCTTTAAATAGACTATTCTTCCAACAAGCTATAACATATTATTAAATGTTTAACTGCACATATTTTGAGAGCATTGATGCAGAATGTTAAAGAATTAATTCAGGCTTAAACAGCAATATCCCATTTGATTAGTCTAACCATTGTGCCGTCATGGGTGTGGTACGTCTGTGGCTTAAAGCTTCAAGGTGTGGCACTATCATTTTCCTAAATGTTTCTCTCATCACGTGGACCTCTGTACGTCCCCTCTGCGGCAGTTTTGTCTGCTCGTGTTTCTCTATGTAATTATACGCTTCTGAATAAGTGCCTGAGTGAATAATGCAACCAGCTGGAGGAGTCCTCTCTGACGCCTGTGTGTGTGGGTGTGTGTGTGTTTCTGGTGGTATGGTAGGCTATGCCCAGGTCTCCCCCCGCCGTGTAACCTGCAGGTGACGGGGAAACCTGCCATCAATGTGCCCGGAAACCCTCAACGCCAACATGGCAGCATGAGCTAAAAATAAATCCGTTGGTGATAAATAATAAAGCCTCTCCCCATATGCCGAGCTTCCCTCTCCTCTCCTCTTGGTTTATATGTGTGTGTGTGTGTGTGTGTGTGTGTGTGTGTGTATGTGCGGCTAATTGTATGACTTAATTTGTAGGGTGTGTGGTACAGAAGTGTCAGTGCTGCAGGCTGTTAATGGTGTGCATGAGAGGGATTTTGAGAATTCAAAATGCCCACGACTAAAGAATATCAGATGTAATAGAATTAAAAATGTAATCCCCCAAATTTAAAAACATTTTGACTGTAGTTTTTTATATAATTTAATTTGAAAGTATTTAACTATAAAACCATATGTCGGACAAAACAACTGCAACCAAAGAGCAAAAAGAAAAAGAGAGAGAAAGACAATCACAACAGAAATCCCAACAATCACATATTTAGTCCACACATCCACCAAACATGCTCCACCTCAGGATATCTTTGCATCTGAACAACTGAAATAGAATATGATTATAGTCTTTAAAATGTAAAATGAAGTATTATGATTAAACACCGTCAGGTCTACATGTCCATAGCCTGTTTAAATTCTTTTCTCAGGGAAGATTCACCCCTAACCAATAAATAGGCTAATTATATTGCTTAATTGCGACTTCATACTCATGGAAGTAAGACAAATGGCTAACAGATGTCATGTATAGGCCTGTAACAGCTATATAAAAGCTTTGAATATATACAGCAGCCTATACTATAAATCTAAATGCCATTGCAGGTTTATTATTATATGTTCTTTTTTTTCTTGAACACTCTTCCTGATCAGCATCCTCTCATTTCCCACAGTATAATTACACACTGTATAATACTGCGTGATTTCTTCTCTGCGCCGTCTTATTCATTTAAGACGTAATTTAAAAATAGTAATAATAAAAAACGATGGTAAATCAGAGAAAGCAGTACCGTCCTGTGTGGAGACAATGACACGGCGCTCCCTTTTTTCTCCCCCTGGCTGTCTGGTCACGATTCAAAGCCCCTCGCAGCGGGGATCTTTGTGTTGATGCTGCTGCAGCTCAGGTCTGCATGGGAACCCCCCCTCCCTCTCCATCCTCTCCATCCTTCTTTTTCTCCTCTCCTCCATCCCTGCTTCCTCTCCATCCCACCCACCCCTCTACCCCTGCTACTCTGTCTTCCTCCCTCCTCCTCCTCCTGCTGCTTTCTCCTCTTCTTTCTTTCTCTCCTCCACCCACGCACGGCTCTCCACGACCAGCGGGCTAAAAATAGCATCAGGAATCCCCGCATCAATTCAGGGGGAGGAGGAGGGGAGCAGGAAGATGTGTGTGTGTGTGTGTACATGTGTGTGTACGTGTGTGGGGACGTCAGCGCACACAAGGTCATAAAACCGCCCTCCAGTGCTTTTCTTGATTTGTCACAGCTCCCATCAGCATTTTTATCCCCTTCTTCTTCTTCTTCTTCTTCTTCTTACCATGTCAGATTTGATTTTATTCTCCCGAATTGATAAAAAGTCCAAATTGTATCGATCCCCTCTATAAATCACATTTAACACCCCCTCCTCCCTATAATTAATTTCATGACACAGAGGTGGAAATGAGATTTGACTGCAGACTCGAGGCAAAAAAAAAAAAAAAATGTAATGCAACAAAAATAGAAAAAAAAGAAAGGACTTTACATGTAAAGGGTAAAGCAGGTTTTTATCAGCGTACAAACAGGTGGAGGAGAGGAGAGGAAAATACAGGGGGAAAGAAAGAGGGAGCAGCCATTAGCTGTAACAATAAGCTGGAAAAATTCAGAGCGTGTATATTCCTGGTTTTTCTATACAAGAGACAGGAGGCTGCAATGACTGGGAGAGCCCCTGTTCCTGGTGAGGGACCATTGATTGTCCTGCTGTCATTTATAATCATTGTTGATGTGCCTTCTCCAAGCAGAGAGGCTGCATGTGCATCCTCCATCTGATAAAAGGTACGTCCTTTCCTTCTCTCCTCTCCCTCCTCGTCGCCTTGCCTTGCAGCTCATTCTCGGGCTGTGAAAAGATTGCATGATGAAATTGCAATTGCAGGCTCTAATATCTGTAGCTAATAACCTTTACAGCCCACTTCATTTGCATTTTCACACAGAACAGCACAAGTGCATGACTTTTTTTATTTTTAAGGGGTGTATTCTTATCTGACAGAGCTACACCTTGAGGGAACAGGAATGGATCTGTGTCTTTCTGCTGTGCAGTATAGAGGGATTTCCCTCTACATTAGATTAGTAGCTGCCATGCTGCCTGCGTACAGTATTTAAGTCCTTGTGCAAATATTGCAAAATGATCAATTTAAGCAGAAAACCCATCTAAGAGTGTGTTTTTCTTGAAATGGTTTCTAAAGGCTGTTTCATGCTGTATATGGAGTATAGAGTACAGTGCGTCTCTGCCTGTTGGTGGTGAATATAAGGGGTCAGTTGGTCATCTCCTTTGTTTGTTTGGCAGCTCTGATGATGAGACGGGGGCCGAGTCTTTGAACCTTTGCATTAGTGATGAGCTTTCTCCTCTCTTTATCTCTCATCACCATATTTTACAAACTGGGCAAACGTGGCCTCTCTTGTCAAATGCTGGTCCCATCCGCCCACACAGGTATGCACATGTGTATGAGGCACATGTTTAGAACACACACACACACACATAAGCATAATGTCATAATAGTCTTGCAGGGACACACACACACWMACACACACACACACACACATACACTAGACTTTGTTATAAATGAACCTTGCTCTTTCCACCTTCTTTGTCTACTTCAAATCCCCTCATCATCAACGGCTCCATTTTGTGCAGTGACATCATTGTGCTCTGTGAACTCAGGTTGATGGTCCAATGCCTCTTTCTAGGCCACGCCACAGAAAACAAGGCAGGTGTTTGTTGCTGCGTAGCAAGAAGATGTCACGTAGAACCAGAAAGCCCACAGATGCTTCTGTCAGTGCTGCATTAACACCACTGCCACACCTTCAATTGAGGTAGGAAAGAATAAGACTTGTGGTGTTTTAAAGCCAGTGAGATCATGTCTCAGATGGAGATACACAAGTGATATAAAATGAAACAAATCTTTGCTTATGCTTTGAATCTATGAGGATTGGTCTTTTTCATTGTTTCTAATGGAAAATGTGTGTATATTATTTTCTTGTATTGTTGTCTTCTTGCTAAATAATTTGGTCAGTCCCAATATTTACATTCATTCACAACAACAATTACAATCAGGGTTAATACTTTACATTAGGTATAATATTGTAGTAACTTCATAGATGGTGGTGGTGTGTGTTATGGTACTTTATGTGGACTTAATGACTAATTGCCCTCTTGTTCCTCCTCTGAGGTGGATGAGAACACTTGCCACTCTGCTCCTCTCAGCTTATGACTGCATGTCAGAATTACCCAGGATGCCTCTTGAGTATCCCCCTTATTCCTTTCAATGGGATCTCATCACATCTCGTCTCGGATGTTGCCTGGCATGCTCGTGCATTACAGCTGCTGCCTCCGTGGGCCACTTTATCATTCCCTGCACCTTGGCTTTCTTTGTGGCAGTAATAGAAAACACTTCATCACAGTTGTCCGCCCTGCGCAGGTCTTTCCACTCACTTCATGGGACTTTGGGATGCAAACATGTCAGCTGATATTTAACAAT